ATGCATATATAAATGCGATAAAACACTTAATCCATGCGTTTTCCCTCACTGAATGCCTTGCATTGCGAATCAAAGAAAATGACGTCTGTGTAAAAGTCTCTGCACGTTTCGTCGCGCTCAGTGAGTAAAAGTCCCGGATGTAATACACAGTTTAAATCAGGGTGCAGAAATTTAACAAAGTTCAGTCAAAAATATGTTTCTAGAACAGTGAATAAAATGTTGAAACTTGGCTAGAATGTGACAAACTCTGGTGGTGATATGCATAAGAATAACTTAAGGAAAGTTTTATGTTTGTTCTAGGTTAAGAATAGTGTTATATTTTATTTTTTTTTATTTATTTTTTTTATTGAAAAAACGTTAAAGGGAAATACAGACATTTGAATCCGTGAAACAAAAAAAATCTCAATTATTTCTTATTTCACATCAATCATCTTTCTAATACATTATTAAGTATCCTTTTCAGGTCAAGAATAGTAGATGTACTAACTTAGTAGGCCTACTGTGATAAAGTTTAGAGAAAATGTCACAAATGAAAATGAAATCTGGCGATACAGAATTTAAAATAAAACTATTGATATGTAAAATATTCAACTGTATGTTGTAGAATACACTCTAATAAATATTTTTTGTAATTTAAATGTGTGCTTGTGTGTGTAGTTTTAAATAGTTTTCTATTAAGTTTCATCAAATGTTGATTATACAGTACATGATTGACTATAGGCATAGGTCTCCAGGGCTCCATAAGATAAGAGCAAGAGCTTGTGAACTGCAGACTTACACTGATTGGTAAACTGCACTGTTTTATTAGTTCACTTAAAAAAAACACACACACAAAAAAAACACCAATTCTGATCATTTACTCACCCTGGGGGGTATTGCACAAAAGCAAGATAAGGGATTAAGCTGGGATTTTCCAGTTATTCTGGCTGAATTTAGCCCTGACTCGGTTGCACGAATGGAGGCTAAATTAATCTACATTAAGTTACTCTGGAGATTTACACTTTGCAGCTAGCCTGCTCCAGAGCAGGCTAACAACCAGGCTAAGATTAATCCTAGTGATTTATCGACTAGTTCCTCCCTAAATCCTACTAGATATTAATGTTTTAGTTACTTTATGCTCCTGCATTAAAATACTAGATATACTGTCATTCATCTAAGAATGCGTACTGATATTTTAGTTATTATTAAAAACTGCTGTTCATTTCACTGTCAGAGGTTTGATGAATATATTATTTGAGATTCAAAGCGTTTATTGGCATACACCTGCAGTGAGGAAAGCAGATTTTCCTGAGCAATTATAACTTTGCTGTCCACAATAAATGCCAACACAATGCAAAAGAACTATACTATACAATATGAGAAATAGAAAGACTATGTATATCTACACTCTAAAAAATGATGTGTTGGATTTACTTAAAATATATATGCACCATTTTTGCATCATACTTTTTAAGTAATCCCAACTTGGAATAATTTTACTTAAAATTAACAAGAAAACCTTTGTTATATTTACTTAAATATTTGAGTTCACGTAACATTCTTTACTTAAAAATATATGTAACGTGATGTATATATTTTTAAGTAAAGAATGTTACGTGAACTCAAATATTTAAGTAAATATAACAAAGGTTTTCTTGTTAATTTTAAGTAAAATTATTCCAAGTTGGGATTACTTAAAAAGTATGATGCAAAAATGGTGCATATACATTTTAAGTAAATCCAACACAGTGCAGGCCATGTGAGATCAAAAAAAATCTTAGTTGTGTAAACTTAACATTTAAGCTCATTTATTTATGAAAATAAGACAATTAAATGAGTTGAACCAACCATTTGAACTTATATTAGATCTTCAGCTATTGATCTGCTTACTGCACTGCTCCACATTCAATGTCTTAAAATAAATTAAACATGCAAATCACACACAATAAAGCACTGAACTCTTTATTTTTTGCCAAAGTCTGCAAAGCCTGAAACCACACATGAAATGTAACAAAATGTGGTAAATCGACAAATGGAAAATCACTTTTAACAGGTCACTTTTTCACCTTTGCAACTTCTCAAAAGATTTAAATTTGTCCAACATTTACTTTTTGAACATACAAAAAATATCTTATTCTTTACATACTTTTTTTGTAAGAGAGATTGCAATCTACACAAAAGTTTCACAAAACTGTCTTGATTTTTCACTCTTTGCAACACTTCTCTAGATATTCAATTTTTTCCAACATTTCACTTTTGGAACATGCAAAAAACAACCTGAGAATGAAACAAGACTACAATCAAACCTTTGCAAACACTGTACTAAAACGCGTTTGGCTAAACAGGTCTTGTGAACATATTTGTAGTCGTAATGGTCAGAACAACACCATCAATAGCTATTATTTCAACAAAGAAGCTTGTTCTTCAGAGAGTAAACCTTTGGAGAAAGTTTGCCACTGTCTAGTTCAAGCAGAATCTTCTGAAAAAATTCAAATGAGTATCTGAGCTCTTTGGGGTAACTCAGATTGATTGCATAAATCAGGCCTACAAGATAAACACAAGCCTTCGCAACACCTGACAACCCGTCATCACCTCTATGCTTCCAGCATTACGCCAGTCTGTAAAGGATCATCTGCTGAGCCACCTTTCGTTACGATCCTCAATGTGAGCTGTTCCAGTTCCTCTTCGTTCCCATGAGTATCCTTTAAAACACAAAAAAACAAATCTGCATTTACTTGCAACATCACTTGTTATTGTTCAGATTGAAAAAATACATTGCATTCAAAATACACTGCACTGAAACACAGAATGAAAAAGAAATGTGCCTATATATTATAAAATAAAATAAATCTCTTAGAGCCTCTTAACTATATTTGGTTAAATTTAATGAATTGCCATTATACAAGTTGTTTGTTTAGGTTTGGAGCTCAACTTGGTTATTCATCGTTTTAGATGCTCACCTGATAATGCTTGATGAGATTCTCAGGATTTTCCGAGAGGTAGACAATTAAGCATCGAATTACAACTTCTCTGCATTTTTCCACAGGACTGGTCTGAAAAGTATACAAAATGTGGCTTTTCATGGTGCATACACACAAAACAACAAGTATACAGAGACCCCATTGAGCATTATGTAACAAACTCATCTTCATTGACTGTATAACTGCTGATGGCAAATTAAGTTGAAAGCTAAATTAATTTTGAAAGAGAGTGCTCAAATTCTGCTGCTATACACTACAACAATGATCTGAAAATTCTGTCATTAATTACTCATCCTCATGTCGTTCAGAACTTGTAAGACTTTAATTCATCTTTGGAACCCAAATGAAGATCTTTTTTGATGAAATCCGAAAGCTTTTTGTATCTCCATTGGCAGCTGCACAATTGCAACTTTGACACTTCATAAAGTTCATAACGAGATTGTAAACTAATACATATAATTTGAGTGGTTTAATCCAGTGTTCATATGCGAGTAAAAGCCTAAATTAAATCTGTTCATCAAATAAAGCGATCAAGTCTCTTCAGAAAATTTGGACTAAAACACTCAAATTATGTGGATTAGTTTAACAATCTATTTATGAACTTTTTGAAGCGTCAAAGTTGAAATTGTGTAGCTGCCATTGGAGGGACAAAAAGATTTCTGATTTCATTAAAAAAGATCTTCATTTGTGCTCTGAAGATAAACAAAGGTATATGTGGAACGACATGAGGGTGAGAATCAGAATTTTCATTTTTAGGTGAACCAACAAAATAAGAGGGAGCTGAAGATGCCTACAGTACAAGTAGTCATTTAAGGCAAAGGATAATTTGCATAATTTTGCTGCATCAAAAAATGTTTTGATGTCCTGAAATGTCTGCAACTATGTAAGATCTGTTGTAATTTCTGCATGTTAAAACTAAAATGTCAAGAAATATTCTCTAATAAAACTTGATAATGTGCAATTGAACCACAAGTGAATTATTTGTTTATAAATCTTACACCGTGGTGTACAGAGGAAAATAATAATAAAAAAAGGCTTAGTCCCAAACATTTTAGAAGGCACTGAATATAAATATATAAAAAATATATATGCCAACAAACTAGGATTGTCAAAAGTACCGGTACCAGTATTTCCCTAGTATTTTGAGTGATGTTGAACGAATTCTGACTACCTATGACTAGCCATTGTGTTCACATGCTCAACAGATATGTCTGTGATTGGCAACAATAATCAACGCTTCAGAAAAAGTTGCTAACAGCAATCGTTCACACTTCACCTAGTGCTTAAACAGATACACATGTGAGCATTTTAAAGCAGGCATCTATCAGTGGTCTATCAGAGTGGGTGAACACAATGGCCAATCAGAGGTATTTACGCTAGTCAGAATCCGTTAAACAGTGCTCAAAATAAAAATAATAAGTGTTAAAATTTAAGTTCTGACTTTGTACTAAAGAACTGTTACTTTTTACAACCCTACATAAACTATCCACATACCTGGTTTAGCGTACTCAAAATTTCTTTAATTTGCTGTCCAGCATTTCCTCCCTTGTTGCGAAACAAAGTCATAAGTGCATCCGTGTGTTTGTCCAGGTTTGCCATGAATGTTGTTTCCAGCTCAACAGATGTCAACCTCCTGAATTCTTCTTTGACCTAAAAAGACAACAATACATTACTAAAAACTCAGACAAATTTAGAGCAGAATTAAAACAAGGAAATAAAAATGTAGATACCTGAGAGGTGTCGAACAAAGCAGGCCATCTTTCCTGTATGCTTGCTATAGAAGGACCCTTCTCCACAATCTCGTGACGACGGTAGGAGAAAGTTCTGGACATTTTTTGATTAATATTTCTCCAGTTATCCCTTATCTTGACATCATCAAGAAGCTCCATCCGTTCTTGTTCTAGACTCTGTTCAGTTGCTCCCGCAGGGTGTGGAGGGAGGTAGTTTATTTCTGCTTTCTTTGGTTTTTTTACAGCAGCAGGTCTTTTATTTTTAGCCGAATTCACAGTTAGTTCTGGGCAACCGATACTTCTCAATTTTGACCGATAGTTTCCCATCTTGAATTTAAGTCTGGTTTGCCATCCATAGAATCCGGAGAATGACCCAGGCTCCTTTAAGCAAGGATGCTTTTGGATCAATGCTTCTGCAACTGAGCAAATTTGCAGGCTGGTCGGATATGCACAAAACTGGAAAATCTTCTCAGCCAATTTCTCTAGAATATCGGACTTCACACTTGGATTGTTCAGAGTGGTTCCATCGTTTCTGAATGCATCATTAGCAGACTGCAGAACCAGCTCAGTTTCATAGGCAAACTCTGGAATTTCAAACTGTGATGGCCATGGCTTTGATCTTTGTCCATGACTGTCTGGAGAGGAGAGCAATACGGTGTCATCAGATGTGCCAAATGATGAAGGAGCTGAAGAGGCAACTGAACAGTCATCTGAACTAACTTGAGCATCAGAGGTAGAAGGGCCAGCACACTCTAAACTATCAATTGTTGTTAAATTTATAATCACTGGCTCAACTTGCACTACTTTGATGGTGTCTTTATCTTTAAGCTCAGATGTTGAAGTCAGAGAAAAGAACTCCTCAAAATCAGTGTCTTTGTAATGCAGAGTAAAGTTCCCTTGTATCTGAAATGTCTCTTTAACTACTGACTCCAACTTCACACAGGTATCTGGAATTCCAGAGGGGAGGTGAAGTTTGCGAATGGAGCTCTGATCAAGAATTACCCGTAATATTGCTGGTTCACACATGTCCTGTTTGAAAAAGAAACACTATTAGACAAAAATGGGACAATTCACACATAAAATATAATTGTCAGTTTATTAATTGTTAGTCTACTAAATCTCATGTTGTTCCAAAATTAAATAATGTAAATTTGTATGATTACCCAGACAATAAGTACATTTGTTATTATTATGAGTAAATTACCACAAATTACCAATTACCAATTACCACTATTCTGGGTGAAAATGTATTATTTTGATAATAAATAGTTTAACAACCATATCCTGTTAACAACTACCTATTATGATTACCTAGAACTTTGTAGAAATGAAGCACTTCAAAGTCACCATACACTTCCCCTTAACAGTGTATGCAGCAAGAGGCACAACATCACTCAAGTCTTTATGGAGAAGTACTTCAACATGGTCAGGTGCATCTAGTTCAAAAGACCTCAAGTGCTCATTGTACCAGGCTCTACGTGTTTTCACTATGAACCCTAAAGAGTTGTTTACAACCATCAGTTGGTTTATCTGAACAAAATCAGGAAGTCCAGCAGTGGAACCATGAGCCAGAACCATACCTTTACAGTATTTTGTTCCGTAACATGATACAGTGTTTGCCAACACTACTGATGTTTGATTCGGGAATTTTTTGTGAACTGCTTCCTGTACATCACTATGTAGCAAATCCAAATTGACACTGGACACATGTGAAACAGAAAGTGATGGTTGAAATTTCTCTGAAGGTTGACAATTATAAGCCATCAACAACTGGTGTTTTACTGCAAGCGAAAGCAAGATGTTTCTGAAAGAATGGGTGTGTCGCACAACACGTTTGAAAAAACTGTGCTTTGCCTCGAAGCGCATTGTCCACATTGCCACCAGAGGACCAAAAGCCTGGATCAATTCCGGATAGTGTTCCAAGAAATGATGCTTAGGAAGCAACCTCTGCTGTGGAAAAACACTCAAAAATCTGTGTCTGTGCTCAGATATTTTGATATCAAGGTAGCCAATGGACTCTTGAGTATGCACTGGTGAAACTATCAGTTCCACAATTTCTTTAAGGTCCATAAGAATTAACCATGCAGGTTCATCCACTGGAATTTTTGGACCGATGAGAAATGGAAGAAACCTGACCAAGGCCCAGTTTTCATGGGCATTTCCACCGATACTCTTTCGAGTTCCAAAAGACAGAGGCAATGCCTTTGGACAGTTGGTTTTGTCAGTCCATTTAAATGGGAAATGCTGGATTGCAGCATTTATATCATCCACTGTCAAGTATTTCTTTTTGATGAAAATATCCAAGCATAAAGCCAGTTCTACTGGAACGATCCCTTCAAAAACGTCGTGTAGGAGATCTGGTGGATATCCTGATGAAACATGGAAATAATCCAGTTTTTCAGTCATGATGCATTGTCTTTTGACACCAAATGAATGGCCAACACTTGTATCCTCTAATGCTGTTTGAACATGCAGAGTGTGTTGCTCATTTGTCCTTCTCTGAAATGCACCTGAACGTACTTCTTTCAGCTGAAAATCTGAACGCTGGCCAAGGCAAAACCTGCAGGGATATGGTCCGGAGAAGTTTTCAACAAACCCAGCAAGTGAATGGGCCGCTAAATTGTCTGCAACAACACACATCACTGTACCTCTGACATTCTTTCCAAGGCTAGAAATAAAAATGCCTTCTCTCTCCAACACTCCTAGATCTTTCAAAAGGGGTTCTAGCACAACTGAATATCCATGGCGTTTAACATCTTCTGTTTTGCAAAGGACAGCCAAATAAATGGACGACAACTCAGAACGGAGTAGTGATGGTACATTTCCCAGCACCCAATACACTGCAGTGATTTTGTGCTTTTTCCGGGATGTTCCGAGTGGATTGCATATCTCAAAGTCGTCAATGTATACAATCAGAGAAATTGTATCACCTTCAGATAGAAGAGGGTTTTGCTTAAAATTTAGCCCATCATGAAAAGATCTGTATGTTGGTACATCCTGTTCAGAGATCTGAGATCTTTCTAGTGCCTTATGAGAAATATCCGTCTCATTCATTAAATGAGACAACATTTTGAGAATGGGCACATACTGGAAACTCTGTTTTTCCTTTGCATCAATAACATATTCAACAGGCTCCACAATTTTGAAGTTCTCTTTATAATACTCTTTCCTTTTATAAGAGGAACTAAAAGGACCGTCCAATCTAAGTGACTTGCCCAATGGACTTGACTCACAAAGTTCCTTTGCCAAATCTGTGACTACTGATGTTTCAAGAACACAGTCATGTTTCTTCAGTGTTTGTTCAATAACACATCTAAATACTTCGGTTGACCCTTCTGTTGAAATGAAGAGTAAGTCTTCCACCAACTGGTCAATGCACTTGCCTGATACATTAAACAGGCTTTCCAACTTAAGTAGCACAGAACCAATTTTTTTTACCATACAATCTGGCAAAGGTTCACTTTCTGCCCTCAGTGGTAGACCGCTTTCTTCTTCACTTTCTTCCTCACGAATTATACTGCTAGAATGGCAACAGGCAGAATCTAAACTTGAACGTAGAACTTGCGGTTTAAAATCGGTGACACAATGAGGCATATGCTTTCTGCTTTTGTGGGCAGCAAATGTGCCATACACATTTGTCCTGAAATCACACTGATTAAAAACACAATCAACGGTCTCCTGTTTCTTTAAATGGTGTCTGAGATGTGTAAATAATTCTGCCTCTGTAGAAAATGTAATAGAGGCACAATGTTGACACAAGAAGGAAAAGTTATCTGCCGGTGTTTGTACATCACAAGGGGCATGGTGCCTTTTCAAGTGTGAACGAATTGAGTTCAATGTTTTAAATGAACAGGGACAATCCGGAAAAATACATGGCAATGATTTGTGCCGTCCAAGACAGTCATGTTGTAATCTGTAATGTTTAAGTAAGTCTGCCTTTGTAGAAATGACTGCACTACAAAATTTGCATATCCATTTCATTGTGCACTAGAAAAGGACAAAAAATGAATGAAATTAAAATTATTATATCTAAAATTGAGGAGAACCATATGAACTAAATGATATATGATACTTTTTTTTGGCAAAGCTAATTTGTCAAAAACAATAATTAGACAACTGTTATATAATATATATATAATTTGTGAATTCTTACCTCAAATTATTCAGATCCAAGTTCTTGCACCATAACCTTTTGCACAGCTGCTGGGATTAAAGAATAGCGGGAAAAAAACAACAATATTAGCAGCATAAAATTACTGATAATGCTAGAGTTACAGTTTTTATTACTTTTGGAAGTCAAAACTTGCACCTTCTCCCACTTTCAATATTGCCTCACATTATCAAAATGAGATATAACAAACAACACAAAATATTAAATCAAACACTTCAAAGCAGTGATTTTTCAATCCTGACCCCGAGATCCACCGCTCTGCGCATTTTGTATGTCTCCCTTATCTGACACAGTTAGTTCAGTTCATGGGACTCTCATCAAATGAGCTAATGATCTGGTTCATATCATGGTAATTTAACATGGAAGTGTCCTGACTTATGCAAACTGAATATTAAGGAAGAGCATTTATTTATATACTATACATTATTCATTCACAAAGAAAATTGGTTCCCTTAAAGGTTGAAGTTTATCTTTAAAAAAAAAAAAAAATAAGGAATTAGATTAATTATCAAAAGATTATTTTTTTTTATTTTAGTTTTTGGATGGCAAGATATTTTTTATACTTTTAAAAGAAGTCTCTTCTACTCACCAAGCCTTCATTTACTTGAACCAAAATACAGCAAATACTGTAATATTGTGAAATATTTTACAATAAAAAACGTTTCTATTTGAATATATTTTAAAATGCAATTTATTTCTGTGTTGCCAAAGCTATATTTTCAGCATTATTACTCCAGTCTTCAGTGTCACATGACCCTTCAGAAATCACTGTAAAATGATTTTATTTTATTATTAATTATTTTTGTTCAGGATATGACTAATAGAAAGTTAAAAAGAACAGCATTTATCTGAAATAGAAAGATTTTGCAACATTAATGTCTATACTGTCACGTTTTATAAATTTAATTAATACTTGCTGAATAAAAATATTAATTTATTTTATTTCTTTCTAAAAAAAAGGTCTAATTGACCCAAAAACTTTTAAATTGCATCTTAATATATATATATATATATATATATATATCTGTTACAAATTAGTCCATTATTAAATGGCAATAAATATAAAACTGAGTCTATTAAATAATATCTAGGCCTATTAATTTAAACAAATAAGAAGTTAATTAATGAAGACTTTTGTACAGTGGTTTTGAACAAATCTCTTCGAAAATATTTTAACAGTCACTACTGAAATAACCAAAAAACGATACAATCTTAACTTGAAGCTAAACTTTTTTTTTTTGTATAAATGGGTAGCCTACTTACTTATTTTGATCATTTTGAAGGTTTAATAGACAGGGTGGTTGCTGTCATTTAGGAATAATATTTAGTTTGAATCAAGATCGCCATTATTTAATGATAAATCGCGTACACATATGAAGCTGTAGCATGTGTTTTCGAATTTAATATTTGTATGTTACCGTAGAGTAGGCTAACCGGCGCCCGAGGCCTGGCCTCCCCCCTTTCCCGCGATCCATGTATGGAGAGATAAGTAGCCTACAAAGTACATTTTTTATCCGGAAACTCATAGCCTGCATATAATAAATGACAATTACATTTAGACCTACTTAGTATAAGCTACGTGACAACTCGTTAATAAAGTACTAGACCTACAAATTTATCCGTGCGGGGGAGAGCGCCGTCCGAATTGTTCTTATCTCTTAATGCATAAGTGGCAACGCGATGCATGGTCATATATTTTGAAAAACACAATAAATACTCTGACTATAAACACTTGACACTTGATACATTCCATGGAAGCACACTCACTTAATAATTCAAATATCGCGTGCATTTCATTAACATGTAGACTAAACATTTCATAGTGTTCGTTAGTAACACAACTATAATTGTTGATGTAAAATTCATAGCAATTCTGAAATTCAGTTTAAAGGTTAATTTCTTGACCAAAAATACATTAAAAAATCGAGTTAAAAAAGTTAGGCTTACCTCTTTTCAGCGCCTTCACGTGTCTTTCACAAAATGGCTCCAATTTTTTCTGGAACTGGTATCACGGGAAATTGGCATCACGTGGCTCATATAGTTACTTAAAATGTTATGTTAGATTTACTTAATTTTGAAGCAATTATTATAGTAGTTGACATGACTTATGTTTTTCCATTTTATTTATGCATACATTTAAGTTAATCAGGTAACTTATATTTTTGTGTTATACACACTATATATGTTAAGTAGAGGTTGAAGAGTTATGAATACTTATTTTTATGTGTTTAATCGAATTACTTTTATTAGTAATGGTTGTTCAGCCAACGAATCGTTTTTTAGAGTGTATGCAAATATAGAGTAGAAATGTATAGTTGAATGATAAAAAAAAATTAGAGGCTATTTTATTGCAGTTGATGAGATAATAAGAAATGGCTCATTAAGTCGTAAATGTGCTTTCATGTAACAACAAGGTCAATATATAGTATATATAGACTAAAGATTTGTTTTTCCTATTCACAATGGCTTGCCCTTTGTTGGATGATGTAGTTGATGAGGAAGTTTTAATACTCAGACGAGCATTCAGCCATGAAAGAGTCATCCGAGATAGGGCAGACCCATTGGAATCACTGGCTTCCCTTTATAGGCCTGTGGTGCTGTGCTGTGGTGAAGTCTTGGGTTGGAGGGCCACCCCCGTACCAGATATATGACTTTTTTTTATTGCTAAAATCAGCACAGACCATTAAATGTCAGCAAACATGTCACCATGTTCTCTGCAGACAAGTCACTACCAGCCTGCAAAATTTTCTTGTATTTAATCTAGACTTTCTGCCAAGTCCTTTTTTGGCCAGACATGTTTGTTCTTTAAGAGGAATAGATACAAATGATAAAATAGATTAGATGGATAAAAATAGTGCAAAATATCTGATTATAAATTACATTAAATCAATTAGAAACAAAACCTACATAGAAATAGATAAGAGTAAAAAGATTAAAGAGATAATAGACATAAAATAAACTAAATATATAAAATATACACATAGTAGGTAAGTGTTTGCAATTATTCTTCATGTTAAATGTATGTCCACTGGTCACATTTAAGGCAAAATATACAATTATTTTTTTAAAGTAACTCCTCAAATTGTAATTATGAGGGTTACAATGGAGCACTGCACACTCAAATGCTCGGTTGTTTTAAACCAATTTTGGGTCAAATATGGACAAACCCAGCTGTTGGATTGAATTTATTAATTGCATTTTTAAATCCAACATTTGGGTTTGTCCATATTTGACCCAAAATTGGCTTAAAACAACCCAGCATTTTTTAGAGTGTGGTTATTTATGGACTTAGCATTCAATCGGTCTGCTATTGTTTGCCAGGCATTCTCTCTTTGTTTTATTACAGCATCTGTATTGGCTTTTTTACATATTATATGTTTCACTTCTTCATACGTTTCCATAAGAAGCTGTTGCTCATTAGGTGAAAAGTATGCCGCACGCGTTTTGTCCATTTTTGGATCGGTGATTCTGTGATCGATTTCGCGCTCTTTTTAAGAATGCCATGAACGTGCATTTATCCAAACTATATACACCTGGCTTGACATAGCCGTGCGTTCTCATCCTGGCTCAGCAAACGTGCAACGGATTAAGCCAGGATGCACTGATCAGACTAGGTCAAACCGCGACTGTTCAGTTATCCTGGCTTTCTTAATTCTACTTTTGTGCAATACCCCTCAGATGTCAAAGATATCCATGTCTCTCTTTCTTCAGTTGAAAATAAATTATGGTTTTTGAGGAAAACATTCTAGGATTTCATGGTAACCAAAAATTCAAATTTTCAAAGAAGGTTCAAATGTCCGTCTCTATGTAGCTTCGAAGTCTCGACACAATCCCAGTCAAGAAATAAGGGTCTAATCTCTATATATACACTTTTGAAACTTCTTTGAACATTTGAATAGTTTGCCATTGAAGTCCATTCTGTGTATAAAAATTTAAGTGATACATGGCTATCTTGGATGACATCAGGGTGAGTTTGAAAGTCAACTTAATACTTTAAGATATATAATATGCTGGACATGAATGTTTTTACACCAAGAAAATCTATGTGGCTTTTGTGTAGGACATGCAGTATATGACATATATGATTAAAATTATATTAATATTATGCAATTTATGTGGATTTTGCAGGATATATGTCCCTTACAATATTCTGTTGGAACATATAAGAATCACAGGTGTTTTTAGCAAACCTTTTCCATATGGGTACCCATACCCTATTATAATGGCGGATTTACCAGGCGCCAGCCAGGAGCGTTCACAGCCGAGGAGATTGACGTTCTTGTCAGGGCAGTGAAAGATAGAGAAGTGACGTTGTATGGGGATGGGAGAAACCACCCAAATCAGCATCGGTTAAACATACATATTTCTTGAGTTGCCACTATTGGGCAAACAGGTCTGATCCTTTAGTACTACATTTAGCCTTAAAAAAATAGGCAATTAGGTTTTTTTTCATCTTCATGTAAACCACAATAATTTCCCTCACGTATTAATATGTTTCCTTGTTATAATGTATGATTTGCAAAAATAAAAACTGCTGCATCAGTGTTGATGAGAGAATCAAAGTGTATGCGCGTTGTGCACCCGCTACATTATGGCCAAGCATGCACGCTTTCAGTTTTTCTCAATTGTTTACACACAAATTCTGGTACTTGAGATACAATGACCACAACAGGCACGTTTGGGGGGGGGGGGGGGGGCGTTGCGCCCCATCTAACTAGTAGTAAAATGAATGAATAATAATTTAGCCGTAAATAAAATGACCCACATGATGACCTTTCACCTGATTCCTCACGCTGCACGCGCATTTTATAATTTCGCGCGGCTATGCGCAATCGCGCATTCCCAGAGGATATCTTCAAGTCTTGCGGCTGCTGGTAAGTGGTGTTCTATTCTCAGCGAAGTGATTTTGATGTTTGTTTACTTATTATTATTATTTTACTAGAACGACGTGAAGAGAGCATGCAGAGAGATGTTGTTTGTATTGCTGTGTGTAGGCTGTAGAAGTAACGTTAGCTTGCTGTTTGCGGGAGAAAAGTTTCACGGGCGTGGAGGGGTGTTATTTGACTAAAAACTATTATTTTTACTTTAAACTATTATTATTATTACAGTATTTATTTAAAAAAAAATATTTTCACATAAAAATGATTATCACAACTCTGGTAAGTTATCACATAGGCTTACCAGTTAGTATCTTGAACATCTGCCCTAGTAACGTTACTATCATATATTATTATTGTATTATATACTTTAGCAGCCTGGGTAGAATCTGTAGCTTTAGCAGGTCAGTGAACTAGTGAGCCAATTCCAAACACTGTCAGCAATCTTTACATCTTGTCATGGTCACATAAAAATGGTTTATTCAGCTAATACCCTATATTTCTGTTTATTTTAATGTCTACAGTCT